CGAGACATCCCACGACGACTTTCCAGACATTCTCAATAGCCGATGCATTTTTCTATGCGCAGATTCTCAATCCTGGGAGCGTCGCGTCATGATCGAGCCGACAAAGGACCTCGGAAATGAGCAGAGAAGCATTGGCCCTTCCCCCCCACCCGAGCACGTTGCGTGTCGGCAGCCACGCGAGGTGCACCATGACACGTTGCGAGATATATTTCCATTCGTGGAGATATCACGATGGTGGAATTTCTCGAGTTTGTGTCCCCCTGGTGATATCTCGTGGTCAACGATCCGGATACAGGCCATCGCGGATCCGAAACTCCGAACGAATATCGCACGGATAGAGTTGCGCAATCTGGAGTAATAGCGTTGTTGTAGCGAGATGCAGAAAGAGCGATCACGAATGCGATACACGCGGGGCAGGAGGGGAGGATACCACGAAACGAAGCCTCGGCGTGCTCGGTCGCAAAGGATATTCCGCGAAAAATATTGACGATAGCTCGAGCGCGATGACGCGTGGCCAAAGATCGCTGCAAAAGCGTTGCGACGCGGTTACATACCATCGTGGATGTTGTCCGATTGTCGACGGCCTGGTCCAAATTATACGTGCACCAACTATGGCGGACTCCCTCGGAAAGAACAAGCTATCTGCCGCCTGTCCGAATGTCGCCTCTTGCGTGAAGGGAGCGCCGCGTTGCGGCGGCGCGCGCTTCTGCGTACCGCCGCGTACGCGCGTCCAATACGCGTGAAGTTGCGCGCGCACGTCACTTTAGATTTTGGCAGGTATTCATAGGTCGATATTAATAAAAGGTCTGTTTGCATTGCATGTACTTTTTCGTACTCAGGAGTGCGTTCCAAAACTCTATCAACTTCGAGTATCCTTTATCCAGGATTGAGTAGCTAGTTAAAACATTAAAAGTTAACAAAGTTAACTTTTAATTTAATTAATTTTAAATGCATTAAATTTTAACTTAACTAAGTTATTTTTAAATGTTAACTTTTTAACTTTTTGTTTTAATTAAAAAATTTTTTGTCTCTTTTAAACATCTTAAAAAAACAATAAGATATAATAAGACTAAGAGCGTATATTCGTAATCTGTTTATATTTTAAATAATTTCTTAAGATGCTAATACAGCCCTCTGATTTCTTTATGCGGTTATGCCTTATGTCTTAAGTCTTAAGTTCGGATCTACAATAGATGCCTTAAGTCATAAGTCTTATTATATCTTATTGTTTTTTTAAGATGTTTAAAAGAGACGAAAATTTTTTAATTAAAACAAAAAGTTAAAAAGTTAACATTTAAAAATAACTTAGTTAAGTTAAAATTGATCAATTACAGTGAAATATTCTTCTCACATTCGATTGTAATTGGTCAATTTCTTATTATTAAGATTAAGACTTATTAAAAAGTAATCACTGATCTTCCATCTTCTCTATGTGCTGGCTGTTTTTTTAAAGTTATATAATTTATATAGTTATGTGTTACATATTTATATCACATAAGAATAAAAAAATTAAAAATTTAATTTATTTAATAATCTATATTGTAGTTATTTAATCTCATTTTAAGAAAAATTAGAACATTTTGACCTAAAAATAATTTTTTTTTTAACTTAAGTTAATCCAATACTAACTTAATTTAAATTAATTTTTTCTTCTTTTAACTTTATTAATTTTGTAAATTTTGTATTAACTTTAACTTTATTCAGTTAAAAAAAAACATTAACTTACCTAACCCTGTCTTTATCTTTATTTAATATTCAGTGACCAATAAAAATAAAATGATACTCGGAGTTGACAGAGTTGAATTTTGGAACAGAACCCTGTATGGATATTTTCCAACAACGTATACAGGTGATACACTATAAAGACTTAACACAATAGGCACAGGCAATAGGCACAGGCAAGTGAATAAAGAGCCGTCCAATCAGAGCTCTGATATGTAAATTCGATAGAAAAGCTTTGAGTAGACAGCTTGTTATTCTCTGTTCCCTGTTGCCTGTACTTATTGTATTTAAGCCTTAAGAGGCTCCGCATAATAAAAGGAACAAGAAAACAGAGAACAGAGAGAACATTAGAATTTCAATTTATCAAGCCGGTTTTACATTAATTGCAAGCCGATTGCAAGTTTATTGCGACCGTCATCTGAAGCTTATTTTGAAATCAACTCTTCATATTAGTTGTCATAAACTTGCGATTAGCTTGCAACTAAGTAGAATCGGCTTCAGAAACTGTATATACAATTCCATAATACATGATTTCTGATAGGTTGAAATTCTCATTCTCTGTTCTCTATTCCCTGTTTCTTTTACTCCGGATCTACAATAGATTCTTAAGTTTTAAGCCGTAAGGAATAGACGAATCACAATCAATTATTCTCCTATTCGACTATAGTGAGTCAATTTCTTACGGCTTAAGGCTTATATTAAAATATCTATTGTAGATTCGGATATTGTGCGGAGCCCCTAAAAAGCTAAATACGAATGTGTAAAATATGTATATGTATTAACTTTTCAAATAGTTATTTGATAGCCGTACTTATTTTGCAATAAAACTTTCAAAAATCGCTAATTCTGAAAAAATTATAACTTAAGTCTAAATAAAAATCATAAATCTATTATTGATACGCCAAATATAATTATAAGAATAGAATAAAAGATTGCAATGCATTCTGGTGTTACACTATAAAACTAAACTGCATTCCAACAAATTACACAGTGGAACGTAGTTACGTTTCTGTGTCCTAGAGCTCGATTGTATATTTTGAAATGAGGTGAAAATTACAAAAGTGAACAAATTCATTAGAATATTCATAATTTAATACATCAATACCTAATAATTATTACTCATCGATCTTCTAGTTGAAAAACGGCCCATCTTTTCTCTCTCTCTCTCTCTCTCTCTCTCTCTCTCTCTCTCTCTCTTTCTCTCTCTCTTTTTCCCTTTTTAATGCTCAAATAAATCTCTATTGAGAGATTCTATTTTGTTCTTGTTTGTAATCTGTAAAAATTGACTGATCACAGTCAAGTATTCTGCTCTCCAGTGAAAGAAATACTCAAAGGTGATTGGTCAATTTTCACAGATTATTCTCTGCTGAACGCACCCAATGAACGTTACTGATTGTTACTTATAAATCCAACCAATCACATTCAATCACTCGACGACCAAGCTAGCAACTTCGTCCAGCTTGAACATGCCCATTAGTTGCATTTAGCAGAGAAAGCGGCTTTATAACTGTTGTAAAATTCTTCATTATGATTGGTTTGTACATTTAAACCATAAGGAATTAAAAGCAAGAATCAATTGTACTAAAGAATTTGACAACAGTTGCAAAGCTGCTTTCTCTGCTGAATGCAGCCATTGTCGAACTTTGAACAAAGCTTCGCTCGCTACGCATTTTCGCATAAGTCGACGAAATGGGAAATCTTTAGGTGCATTCACATATAAATGTCAAAAATCAAGTAGCGGAAACAGTAACCAATCAGATGGGCGATACGGGCAGTAATATAAAAAAATATTTTTTACTCTACTCTATAAAAATCACCGTTGATTGATTGCTGATTCTGCTACTTGACGCTTGTATGTGAATGCACTTTTCTTCAGCGAAGCTTTGGCTGTGTTTCAAAATTCTGTCAGCACTGAAATCTATAGTTTATGTTACGTATACTATACATTTTTAACACAGAATTTTGGAATACAGCCCATGTTGTATGAAATTGTACCTGATTATGGACCAGTTTCAGCAACGCCAGTTACTTTACCCAATTAACTTTGAATATTACCAATTGCTAAACTGAAAACTCATCATCTCTAATCTGGGAATCGATTCTATATCTTGAAACGAGGTGAAAATTACAAAAGTGAACGAATTTACTAGAATACTGATAATTTCATTGATCAATACCTAAATTGCTCACTTTTGTAATTTTCTTGTTTGAAGATATAGGGAGTCGATTCTGATTTTCAAACAGGTAAAAATTATAAAAGGAGCAAATTTACTAAGTATTGATCAATGAAGTTATCAATATTTTAGTAAATTCGCTCACTTTTGTAATTTTCACCTCATTTCAAGATACAGAATCGACTCTTTAATTTTCAAAAGTATGTATTTGTAAAAAATAGTCAAATATATTTACATTTCAATGTTTTATTTTTCATCTCCACAACACTTTTTCTTTACTATTATTAACAAGAATAAGAGAAAGATAAATTTTTAAGTCTTGCTGTTGGCTATTTTGGTGAAATTAATCGACGGATAAGCTTAACTGACGTTGGTGAAACTGACCCTATATTTTCAGATTTCTTTCTATCTCAGCTTGCCTGCACGAAATTAATTAAATGAAATTGTGGAACGCGATTCAAATGACGCTTGCGTACTTGCACAGTATATACAGTAGCGCAACTCTCCTGATTTTATGTTTCCCAAAATGGAGTGCGCACGTGCGAAATAAGTAAGTTGCCCAGTAACGTCATCTAAACTTCTATTTCACTTCTTCCTTTTTCCGTTCTCTCTTTCAAGGCCACTTAAATACTGTTTCTCTTTAACGATTTAAATATGTTGTTTGTTTTCCAGCTGGATTGCTTTCGTTTTAGTTAGAAAATCTGCGTTTTGTGTAGTACAATTCTAATAATTTATTAAAACGCAAGCGATCTAGCAAAAAAAGCATCGTGTGCTGCAGTCGTTAATTAAAATATTTTTACAGTAATATTTATATCATACAACATTTATATAATTTTATATCTTCTTATTTTTGTATTTTTTTTTATTTTGCAGTGCATTATAAATTATAAATCTATTTCTTTTAGTTTTATTACATTTAGATTTTTATTACATTTAGATTAAACTTTGATATACCTAGAGAGAGAGAGAGAGAGAGAGAGAGAGAGAAAGAGCGCAAAAATAAAGAGCAACTAAGAAAGAAATTCAGATGGCGCTAGGGGGAATTTACTTATTTCGCGCATGCGCACTTCATTTTGGGAAACACTAACATCAAAGATACCGACAAAGAGTTGCGCTACTGTATACTGTGGTACTTGCCAGAATGTTCTTCCATCAGCAGCTTTAAACGTTTATACAAATATTTACCACAATTACATCTATTTTTACAACTACGCTTACGCAATTGTAGAATAGGCTTTAAACTCAATTAAGGGTGCCATGTAAACATAATTTCAATTTGCAATACTTTTTAACACATTGAAACTGAATGGACTGAAAAAAGCAATATCAGATAATTGTAATAAGACATTTTATAAGTTCCTCCTTTAATAGACTTTATTTTATAAAACTCATTCGAATCAATTACAAAGACATTATTACGAATTATCGCTCAAAACATTGAGTTTTTTTTTAAATGTTTTATTCCTTATAGCTGAATTCTTTGTACTTTTCATCTTTGTCTTTTCTCTCTAGATTGTCTAATTATATTTCATTTTAGGTACAAAATGTAGAACACAACGCAACTACAAAGAACACATCTAGGATCAATATTGATGAGATGATCCGTGAACCGAAATAATGATAATTCCGGGACACGTATATACAGTAAATTATTAATTAATTTGTGTAATTAATTAAACTTAAATTGTGTTATAATTATGCACTGATTCATAACATCTAACAACATTTATGCAAAGTGCATGACAGGTGTCCGTAGTCTTTGATTTTATTATCGCTCACTTTTACAATCCAACATAAGTGCTTCCTTAAAACAGAAAATCGAATTATATTATCAATAATACGTCATCAATTAATAAAAATCTAAATAGAAGCGAGTTTTAAAAGTAAAGTTTTAAATTTTAAATAAAAAAACTTAAAAATCTCCACATGAACGCTATGTTACAGAAGTCGATATTATTTATAATATCCATGTAAAAACTAGATCACTTCTAAAAAATATAAGCGGTACTTGATTAATATAATATATTCTGACGTTAAGAGAGAGAATTGATAGATTCTTAACGACTCCCTTTGCAGCTTTTCTCATGAATGTTCACACGATCGGGATTAAAGGTTCTTCCGCAATGCTTGCAGGGTACCAGTTGGCTCAGATGTGTCATCCAGTTGGCTTCAACTGTTGCTGCCTGGTCAATCATCATATTTCCGGTGCTGGGATCCTCTGCGAACAGTGAAGTCATCATTGCCGACTGTATTGTACCTTGAAAAGTGTAGGCGAAGCTTTAAGGAGACGTTCGATTTGTAAACGATTTGTCTGTTGCCTCAATCGACAATCCTACTACTGTTTGATTGTCGAAATAAATCCCTCCCATACAAACTAAAAGTAACAATATCGATATTATAATTTCGCACTCAACAATATTAATGTAATAAACATAATGTTACATACAACATAAAGTTACTTTGGTGATTGCGAAATTATAACTTGATGTTATCTTAGCAAACACAACATGCAAGGCTGTATTCCGATATTCACTACCAATGCTGAAAATCTATAATGCGTGCTATAGATTTTCAGTAGCAGCGAATATTGGAACGTAGTCATTAACATAATTGATAGTTATAATTTTCTTTTCAATAATATAACTGTTAATACATAACAATTACTTTGTTAAGTGAGAATTAGAGCTAATAGTTATATTAATGTTAAATGGTGTTTGCTAGGATGTTATTTTTAACTGATGTCGAATGGGCTTATATTCATTTTTATCAATGTAAATTAACTTTAATCTCGATTTAATTTACTTTTTACTCTTTTCTAGTTTTAAAGAATTAGAAAAAGATAAAAATTAAACCTAGATGAAAGTTAATCTACATAGATAAAGATGAACATTTTAGTTATAAAATTTTATAAATGCAAGTTACTGCTAATATATATGTGGCATCGTTTAGATTTAAATTTTTACTTTTAAATAATATTTTTTATTCCTACAGGAAAATCAAAAGACATGGGTGACGAAAAAAATTTTTGTTGAGCGATTATCGATTCAAAAGCGAAACTCCCGATTACGAATACATCTGCGACGCATGTATAATTAATCAGGACTACACCCACTTCCATTCTATGGCGGGAACATGACGAACATTACTTCATGTTTCATACATACACATCGTTTTAACTTGATTAATTCACTTCATAGTATTCTTGACCGTGATAACGAATTCAGAATGAACTTCAAAATGAATGACAAATATGCGCGAAAGGACAACCACAAGCTTCGAAAAAATCTATTCTGATCGTTATGCATTATTTTATGAGATTATACCTTTGTGTTAGACAAAGAAAAAGTGCGGAGAAAAGAAATAAAATTTATCAATATATTTATCAATACAGATTTTTATATTATTTCAGACTGTATAAAAATCTAAAAAAAATCTTGCATACTTGTGAAAGTTTTAACAACGAATTTTTATTATCATAAACTTGGATTGTATCTTACTCATCTTTTACAAATTTAAATTTATTTATCATAATTACATTTAATTCACAATTAAAATATGAACTTTAAAGTCCTTTAAATTTGCTGACGAAGTATTAAAAGATAGAAATTGCAATCATAACTTTAACATAACTTCAAGATATTAAACTTTTTTTTAAGTTATTGTATCTTTCAATAATCCTTTGTCATTGTATTTCTATGTAACATTTTTTGCGTTTGCTTTGGGCGCTCACGCGCTGTAAGCACTATCTTTATCGCTCATTTATACACGCGAAAGAAAGATAGAATGATAGAATTTACGAACACTTAAAGCGAATGCAGGGCTAGACATTATAGTGCACGTATTATGCAAATGAGAACATTGACTTACGTATGTATATAATTTCAGGTTTTTGCGGCTCCTTTCTTTTTTGAGCCGGCGATAGCTTATCATTTTCGGCATGCCACTTCTTTAAGCACTGGGGTTCGTGAATAGCGATACTAGACGATCCGAAATCTCGACCACAGATATAACATGTAACTGTTTTCTTTTGCGACAAATTCTAAAATCAAGTAGTTTAAACATGTCTCCTTATTTTTCTTACTGCTGGAATTCCATTTAATTGTTTTTTTTTATTCTAAAATAGTTTATATTAATTATAATAAACTATTTTATCTCACACATGACATAATTCAAGACAGTTCTTATTTCGAAACAGAGAACATTTATATAGAAATTTAGAAGTAATTTATTCTAAATGTCAGAGAATATTAAAAAAACTCAAAGGAAAAACATTTATTTGCACGAAAGATGTCTAATGCGATATAAGTTGATTCAAAGATAAAAGCGTGTACATTTTCCATGTTTTAGCTTACCGGATACATTGACTGTGAACTTCCCTGTCCACTATTGGCTGATTTTTGCCTGCGAAAGGCTGGATCTTCTTGTTGGCTAACATTATTCTGGGCTTGCCATCGCCTATTGCATTGAGGCTCATGAATCTTTATGCTTCTAGTACCGAATCTTCGTCCACAAATACTACAGGGAATGGTAGGCGGTGCATTACGCCCATTTGCTGGAGTGGCCAGTCGTTCGTTATTCTATAAGAATAGATGATATTTGAGAAAATAGAATGCCGAAATCACTGAATGCATTTAATAATACCTTAGGCGTGGCTTTGCAGCTTCTCTCATGGACTGGCAATCGTTGAGGCAAAAACGTCCTCCCACACTTCGCACACGGAATTAATTGCTCCTACAAAAATGCTTCTTGTATTTTTATTTAATTACAGAAAAAAGTATGTATATCTCTACTGGCATTTAATTGTATACGAAAGTGTCTCTCTCATCATGTGTTTTATAAAGAAGATTACAATAAGAAATTAATGCACTATCAAGACAATCAAATAATTAATCTTTAAATCGACGTTTGCAAATGTTGACAGTTGAAATCACTGATAATTACAGAGCATTAAAATCACTAATTTATCATTCGGATATGACGAACAATTTTTTCTAATTTTTTACGTAAATGATAGTTAATCGTTAAAGACCCTTTCTGCACGCAAATTCTTATTTGGTATGCACTCGTGCGAGTCGTATGCATATGAGATGTTAAAGAGTAATCTTTAATATTCGATGTTAGAATCACGCACTCGTGAACAGCACGAAATCTTCGTAGACCATGCACGCGATGCATATTATTAAATTATTATGTCTGGTAATTCGATTCTAATATTAAAGCCATGATGAATCTTTCAAGATTTAAATTGGAATTTATTAATTTTCTTTAATTAATTTTCTTTAATTTATAAGGCATGATGTTCAATTTTATAAAAGCAAATTCCTTTTGCGTTTGCTTCTAATTTTCCGGGCGCTCCTAGAGCTCCGTATGTGCATCCTATAATTGATTCTTGCATCATCGATGAATAAGGACTGCATCATCATTCGATAAAATTAACGAAGCGCGAACAATATCCTCTCACACGGAAACGACGCATCTCGTAAGAATAACTACTCCGTCGTACATTTCGTTAACGTTGCATCGTTAATTAAAACGTAACGAAGGATCTACCTGACTCTGCTCCCATGCAGCTGCGTTCCAATCGTTGTGTTCGATATCAACCGCAGGTTTTTGTGGTCTGGGCCGTCTCTGAGATGGAGGCAGCAAATTATTCTCACGCTCCCATTTCTATAATAGATGTTCGTTTGAATAAATATAAAAAATTATTAAATAAATATATACGTATGATATTCTAGTATAATAATTTATGAGAAATTTTTTCTTTCTTACTAAAGTAAGAAAATAATAATAATTTTTTAATGAATAAACAGATCAGTCAATTTTATTAATATCAATTTTATTAAAAAATTTTGAAGAGATGAAATTCTTTTTTTAATAAGAATCTTCCAACAATTTATATGCAACTTTCTATACACATGCAAAAAATGATTTTGCTGAAGCATCTATAAATTTAGCTACACATTTGAAATAATTATATTACTATCAAAAATTAAAATAAAAAAAGAACTACGAGCCAAAGCTAATTGCTAATGTTTAATGAATCTTATACTACATCAAATACATATATATGAAACTAATAATTAAAATAATTATACAGAACACTCGCAAGTTGGTTGCTAGAATATACAATTTTTATTTCATTATGTTTGAATTTTTTTACATTCTTTTGATTGTCCAATAAAAATATTTTTTTTAGATCTATATCTAGATCAATTTGTAGATATTTCAGTAATCATTCTTTTCGTGCAACATGCAACTATTATATTGATTTTATATTGCAGCACATTAGCACTGCGGTATATAACGTTGTTCCAATGTCTTTTGGTTCAAAGTATGTATATACCATTCATATAACTAAGGGTGATTGCGTGCATAAATGTGAATTTTACGTATCGATCGCAAAAATCGCGATGTGAAAGCGAGATAAGAATCGCGTTCGGTAAACTTGTGTGTGCGCAAATGTAGGATATAGAGTATTCATTAAATAATCCATCGTTACGGGAAAATGCGGTCGGTCGGTCGAAGACACCCAGTCTAAGAGTGTATAAATTACCGCAACCGATTGCTGCGTTATAGTTCTGTTCAACTATGACACATCGGTTACACGCAAACGAATGCATCTGATATTGAGTTTAATAGTACAAGCAACGCAACGTTATACCACCATCGATCTTGCGAAAGGGCCTTGACTTATTACATGCGCGCTATCATTGCAAAGCTATTATGTTATGAACCTTCTGTTACTTCCGCGATGAAATGGGAAGAGAAATTTATCAGCGACTCTACGACCTTTTCAAAATGTCAGTCGTGTGTTGCCCTAATTTTAGGCTTTATCTATTTTAAGGCTTTTATCACGAAAAGTGATTGAATCGAGGTAAAAGATAGAGCCTAGTAAACAATAAGATTGTATCAATATGTAATTTCCTCAATAATATAAATATTATATAACATATTGCATGTAATAATCATGTTGAATCGAATATTGTAGGTATTTATCTCATAGTATGTGATCCCAATAAATACCCATTGAGGCTATTTACTGGGATCACGTACTATGTTAATAGTAATTATATTAATTATTGTATTTTAGAATTACGATAATGTCGAAGTCATCCTTTACCTCCATGCACTTAGGCTCGTGTATAGAAAAGCTGGCAGTGCCGAATTCTCGACTGCATACGTAACACGTGACACTCCTGGGACCTCGTTTCATTAACGCGGATATCGATCTGCTTTGCTGATCCGAGACCTGAGAAGAATGATCCTGAGGAATGACCGGGTTCTCAATTTCATCCAGTTTATTCCTGTTCCGATCGCTACGAAAGTTCAATGCCACCGGCTTCTGAATAGATTTTGGTACCGACGGCACCATAGGTTTCGATTTCGTTATCGGCGATGGGATATTCTTGATTTTGGACTGGCTACCCTTAGGATGACTGTGGAATCTCTCCGGCTGATCTGGACGCCCGCAAGTCTTGCAAGGCTCTGGCGCACTTTTTGTTGTCTTTGAGGTGGAGGTGAATATTTCCAGATCATTTGATAGACCGGTCCGCGGGTTCTTCTTCTTCACCATCGATAGCACTTTAGGAGGATTGTTTCTAATCGCATGAATAGAATTTGTAAATATTAAAACATGACGGTTTAAAAGCGAACAGGATAAGTAATCATGATGAGATGTAATTATATTTTTCAAAAATAAAATATGCGAGACTTTCAAATTTTAATAATCTTCTGATAACTAACAATGGGAGGCTACAAGTAGTATCTATACATACGAACTTTGCTTAACTTTAAATATGTTTTAGTGCTTAATTAAGAAAGTAACATAGCGCAAAATTTAAATATTTACAAGAAATTTGAATCGATAGTTTCTCGTTCTTTTTTTTATATAATAATTAAATATATGTATAGAAATTATTTTATAATTATAATAGTTTTAACGAATATTTTAACGTCTGTAATTATACGAATAATATCGGCGCAATTTAATTGAAAATTCCAAAATGTTCGACGCAAATTTATCGTGAATGCTTGATATTGAATCATGTCACTGACCTAATAATGGATTAATGGGGGGGATAAATATATTTAAATATATTTAAAGTTAGACAAAATTCGTGTGTTATTTGGCCCTTCCCTTTGTAAATATAAATCATATTTTTGATTTTTTTTTAAAGAATATTATTAGCTCGATTAATTTACGATCTAATCATCACTGACTTGTTATTATTATCGTCGAGCCTTCTGATGTCGGAGTTTCGTTTGGACACAGACTCTTGCGTCGCGGTAACTGCGGGCGATCGAGATCTATCAATTTCCTCCATTAAACCCGCTGCGACTCGCGGCT